TTGTCATAAAACCCCTTTTTTGATCACCAATAAATCGCATAATTGATCATACTTCTCATTCATGATACGCAAGTATCCATGCCATGAAGGGTTTACATGAAGTGCGTTGTGTATCTTAACAACCCGTCCTGTTTCGAGCGCCATTTGAAATGGTTTATGCAGACTTAAAAGGTCCATTGCTTTACTACAAAAATGAGCGGACAGTCATTAGATCTATCACAATCACAACCTTCGCTAAGGTTAGTCTACATTTCACAAGCAGAAGGGAAAAGGATAAGTATATAACAGCAAGAAATAGAGGATAAAAGTTTTTCCTTTTTTCATGTATACTAAAAATAAAAAGAAGATCATTACAAACTCTTATGTCTTCCTAAGCTAACAATCCAATCACCTACTATTCATGCATGATAAACAGGTTTTGACACATGATTTGATCTGGCTCTTCTTTGCCCTCTACCAGAGATAATCATGATAATGTTTTAGTCCTTTTATAAGATCTCCTTATTTCTTTAAATAATGAATGCTGATCTATATATTGATATTACAGAATAGCGTCTTTCTCTATTTCTTAAAAGCGCCATTTACCAGCATATACTAAAAAGGTATAATGGTAAATAAACAAAGGACGATGTCTAGATCATTTTGATTGGCAATTAACAACTACTGCGTGCGTTTCACAAAAACAGCAGCCTAGTGTCTTTTGATAAAAGACCTTTGTTTATCATCAGCTGCTTTTTTTTTTTTTTTTTAAAGATGTCGTTTCCCCTTTCAACCTTTGTCCTTGTACACTTGATTCTCACTTTACTTTTTTACTCGTTTTCCAAAGAAACCAAACAGAAAAGTACGCATATTGGAAATAAGAAAAGTGAGGCAATCATAATAAAAATTGTGTGTGTGCGTGGTCAGCTTTATGTAAACAAGCGGCATCAAAAAAAAAAAAAAGGAGGCGTAAAAATTATGCAAAGTAAACAAATATAAAAAAGATACAAGAGAATATTCCACGTTCTAAACTTAAGAAAAGAGCGTTCGGAAGTGTTCTAATATGAAAAAAGATTGAAAACGAGTTTTTTATTCATGCATTAACGAAAGAGGAATGAATCATTCATTTTTAGCCTAAATAAAATGACTCACGTAAACAAAAAACTATAAAAGAAAAACCATCATTCTTTTCCTTTTTTTCTTTTTTCTTCATTCTTTATCTCTTTTAAAAATTCTCTTATGGCTTTATTATGACTACGTTGAAAAGGTATAACAGTGTTTGGGTGGTCTCAAAGTACATATAACTAATGTCATCCTTTAGAAAATTCACTTTTGCTGGCTCTACTTCATAGTTCCTGATGCATCTTACTCTATCAAAATGGTCTCTCACGGGGTGTAGTCTTAAAGAAATCTCTGCTACTCGCTAATGCTCAAAGTGTTTACTAATGCTTGCTACTGCTTATCAATACACTCACACACTCACACACTCAAAAAAAATACTCAAATGCCTACAAATGCTTATCAAATGCTTATCAAACCTCTGGAAAGACCAGTGAACATCTGCTCATGCTTACCAATGCCTACAAATAATCATCAGTGCCTGAAAATGCTAGTGAATGCCTGTCTCATGCTTATCAACGTCGGAAAGTCCCTAAAAGATTTTGCTCATGTCTATCAATGTCTGCTGCTAATGAATACTGCTTTGCAGTAACCACATATTCAAGTCCTGAAGCCACAAGAAACATAATCAATTTACTTTGCCACTATCTGCCAAGCTCTATCAAGCTCTACTACAAGAAAAGAAAACGTATAAAAAAACAAAACAAGACAAAAACTAACCAGATAGGTCGCTACTTCTCTATGCTGGATCACCCCGAGACGCTCCTATTGCTATGGCTCTGCCTCTACAGCTGATGAATGGCCCGTAAACTCTCCCTACTACTGAGCTCGATGCTTTCAATGTTCCAATATTCCAATATCCCAATGTCCCAATGTCCCACCGTTTCAAGGTTTCACTGTTTCTGCTGCGCGCACTGTCCGTAGTGTTTTCAAAAAGCTTCGTCCTAGGTACTTAGGTGCACTCTTCGTACGTTGAAGCTCCCCTTTCCTGAGTTTCCCGTGGTTGTTTTTTGAGTCTTGAGCCTTGGGCCTTGTGTCTTGAGACTTGAGTACTTTTTATTCATGGAGGGTTTACACCGTGTAGTCTTCTGGCATGCAGTCTATGGTTCTAGTCATCTTGGGTTTGAAAGCTAGCGATAATGTGGCCTTCTGGACTTACGGAAAGAAAAAAAGAAAAAAAATCTCTATTTGCTCTCTTAGCTTGGCTATCAAAAGAAAAATCTTTGCTTATTCAAGCCTCTCTCTTTGCTTCTAAAATGACTTGGAAATCAAACTATTGCTTTAATAAAAACTTCATTTTGTTACTCCCACACTTGACTTTTTATTCTTTAATCTTGATAAAATGACTACTTTCATATTCATTCAGTGCATTCTCAAATGTACGAGTTTGACTCAAAAAGAAATAAAAGGAATTTTTTTCAACGCATTATTCTTCGAGTTCTGCTATGTGCCCTCATCCGTTTGACTTTATTAAAAACGAACTGACACTTTTAGCGAGTGAATGAAATATCTGGAATGTGTCCACTGCAAGTCAAACAAAGGGCCACGAATAAATTTGATGGCTTCCTGCATCCAAACTGTCGAAGGCAGGGTACCAGAGGGGTGCTTGAAGTCGAAGTAGATCAAAGCTGAGTGATTGGAACAACACCATAATGTTGCAGTTGCTGTACAGAGTAGCGACAAAGTCCAAGTGAACTAACATTGCAGGTTGGGTAAAGGTTGTCTAATATGCGAATACTACATCTTGAGTGTTCTTTTTTTTACTGATAGTGGACATAAGTGCAAGTGGACAGGTTAATGTATTCGAAGCACTAATTGGATGAGGGTAGAGAGACGTGTGTTAACAGCGTATTTTTGCAACTTCTCGGTGAAATAAAAAAAAGGGGTATTGTTTTTCATAGAGCGCTGATAACCTGTTTATCTCGTCTCTTTTTTGAGCTATTTGAAGAAGGAATATTGACATGTTAATAAAGATTTCTTTTTTATATTACTCATTGACTCTTCTTTAATCTTCCCACATGCTCATGTGTGTGTGCTACCAAAAAGCTTTATAGGTTGAGTAATGCAATTTCCACGCTTCTTCCCTGAGGTTCAATTTTTTTTCTGAATGTCGAAAATTAGTATTCAAAACGATCGTGGAGAGATTATTGTTGGCATTTTGGAAAAGAAGGAAGCCATTGATTTGGGTAGAACAAGGCCCAGGCTTGTACTTATCACACATGGTGTATTAGGTAAGGAAGAATAGAAATAAATATATGGGGAGAGAGTTAACCATGATGTTAGGACACAAGGATTATCTCTTTCATCGATTGCTAGCTCAAGAACTGCCCTATTCTTCTTTCCGCTTTGACTTTCGAGGTAATGGTGAAAGCACAGGCCAACCAGGATATGCAAATATGAAAGTAAGTTGCATTGAACAGGGAGAGAAAGAGCTTATCATTGATATATTTTCTTTTTTTTTTATGATAGGAAGATGTAGAAGATATCCACACAGTAGCTGAATATTTTGAAAATCAACTTGGATATGAGATTTATGCAGTTATTGGACACTCGCGTGGTATAACTGAATGATCTTTTTTAATGAAAAAAAAGCTAAACATAGTTATCACCAGGTTCTGTGGCAGGACTTAAATACGCCACTAGCTGTGAAAAGCCCTTGAGCTTCTTTGTGAACATATCAGGACGTTATAAAATGAACGATAATCAAATCCATAGAAATAGACCTGAAATAGGTGCTGCATTAAAGGCACAAGGGTATTTTGATTGGCGTGTGAGACAGAGAGACCGAATTGTGACCATCAAAGTAACTCAAAAAGACGTGGATCGATTCACTTCATGGTCAAACGAACATGGTAAGTTCAAACTTGACTATATAATGTATTTACTCATTGTATATAGTCGCAAGGATGCCACTGTCCACTTGTGTATTGACAGTCCATGGTCTGAAGGATAATGTAAAAAAAAAAAAAAGACAAGGGAAACTATTTCTTATGTCTCTATCCATAGATCGTTCCTCCTTACAATGCAGCAATGTTTGCAAACAAAATCCCCAACCACACACTTGTGCTCCTTCCAGAAGGCGATCACAACTTTAAGGGGCAATTTGAACATGTTGTAAAAGCAGTCGTCGATTTCTTTGCAAAACATGAAAAGGACGATTTTCGCAAAGTCATGGGTATGGGACAGCATACAGGTCTAGTCTTGCCTCGTTGGATAGACGTTGAAGGTGTAAGGAATTTCAGAGATATTGGTGGCTGGCCCGTTCAAGGTGGAAATGGATACATACGAGAGCGTACCGTGTTTCGCTCTGGACAGTAAAGTGCGCACACTTTGCTAAGCTTTTTGTACTCATATTTCTTTAGTCTATCCAATATCACAGACAAGGGACAAAAGACGCTGGTCGGTTTAAATGTAAAGGCTACATTTGATTTTAGACTAGATCATGAAGTTAAAAAGGATGGAATGATTGGGTAAACAAAAAAAAAAAAATGAAAAAACGGCTGTATATAAACAAGATATATTTATATAACAGAGATATCCCTGGAGTCATCAGATTCAGTTTTAACCTGTACGAAAATGCAGTCAAAGACGTAAATGACTATATTAAAAGCCTGATGGTTTTCCTTGATGGGCCAGAGGGGTTTGCAGAAGGTACACAAACATGCTTGGATGTTTATATATATATTCATTAAAAAATATATCAGGGTACATGTTGATATTAGAATCAGGAAAGAAGCTCATAGGTGATGTCTTTCGGTACATGATAAAGGAACTTTCGATTCAAGATAGATACTCCATGGTCATTCACTGTACTGCTGGAAAAGACCGCACTGGTGTCTTTGTTATGGTCTTGTTGGGTCTGTGCGGTGTAGATGATGAAATTATTGCAAGAGAGTATGAGTTGTCAAATCTTGGCTATTTCGGTAATTCAAGAAGAAAAAAAAATACCATTTCTCTTATATGTTTATAGAATATGAAAAAGATTTGACACAAAGAGCAGAAAAAGTAGGTGTGAGTGAAGAAAAGATGCGATCTGCCTTATCTGCATCGTAAGTCTGATATATATGCATGTAAAAGCATAAAATGATTTTCTTTGCTTTAGTTACAATGGAATGAAAAGTACCATTAGACGATTGAAAGAAAAGTTTGGATCATTTGAAGGATACGTACATGAATGTGGATTGAGTGAAGAAGAGATCAAACAGGTTAAGCAGCTTATGATTGTGCCTATTCGTTTTGAAGAACGTCAACTGTATCGTCCTAAAATTTAAACAATTACAAAAAAGGGAGTATAAATATAGAGAAATGCCTTATATTAAATATAAATATATCTTGCCCCCCTTTGATAAAGAATGTACTGCAAAATACAATGTATAGTGAAATCATTTACTCTGCTATTCCCTTTAAGCGTATGATTTAAATACCTTTACTCTTTCTTTCTTCTTTTTTTTTACTTTTTACTTTTTACTATCATTATTATGCAACCTCACTTGGCTTTATGTTTACCTGAAATCTTGAATCATATCTTTACATTTCTAATACCCACCAACTTACAAGAAGAGACCAAACGAAAACCATATTCTGATATATACCCTTGCCTATTTGTCAATCGACTTTGGCACGATAACGCCAGTAGACTGATCTGGAGAACCGTATGTTTTGAAGATACAGAACCAGGAGACTTTGGGACATTTTTAAAATTTGCCACCTATTTTCGAAAAGATGACGCCTTATCCCCTTGCCCAAGGCCGTCTCTGTCATCGTCTTCTGTATTTGCATCACTTGCGATATCAGACAGTATAAGCCGTTCCAGCCGGTCATCATCCATATCGAGCATTTCATCTTATGACATTGATACCCCTGACGATACCAACATACCAGAGCAACAGGAAAAGAATGATCTGACCATTGATTCTGATCGACACACAAGACTTGCCAACTATCGCAAATCACTCAGGTCACTCACGATTCGTAAGATCAAGCTAAGATCATTGAATGAGCCTCTGACAGCCATTGGAGAACAAGCGACGCGACTGGAGCATCTGGACGTATACATTTGCGATTTTTTCACCAATGCTACTCTTTTATCATTCATCAGACACCAAAGCTTGACGTATCTATCACTTGCAGGATGTCACCTGATTTCTGATGAATCCATCGTTCAGGTCGCTCAAAACTGTCCTCGACTGGAGCATTTGGACCTACGTGCGTGTGGACATGTGTCTGATCGATCTATTACAGCCATTGCCATGAACTGCTCTCGACTACGACACTTGAACGTCGGACGGATCAGAGATCGTGAAAAGATCACGATGGAGTCGATCGCACTCGTGGCCAAGCAGACACAGGTCTCTGTGCTAGGGCTCGCAGGTTGTGAGATTGGTGATGAATGTATGCAGATCATTGCAAAATACCGTGCAGCTGGTCTAGAGCGCGTTTCGGTTAACAGCTGCTCAAAAATATCCAATTCGACAATCCACGCATTGATTCGACATTGTCCAAACCTGACTGTGTTTGAGATGAAAGAATGTAACCTGATAGACGATTGGGGAGCAGTTGCTGAATTGGTTCATCGAAAGGTTTTGCTTACTCTATGTGAGGCTCAAACGAAGGCCTGTCATGTTTGGGCAAATACACATGGAAAATCACTCGATCTGAAAGCACCACAGAAATAACATATATATATATACGTATGCTGAGCATACATACACTCTTAATAAAACTTTTTTTTAATTGGTATTCTGTTGCTATAGAAATTCTATTTTTTTTTTAAAAAAAAGTGTAACAAAGAGAGATTATTTGTAAAAGTTTTATTCGTCGCTACCATTTAAAGACGGCGACCCGCATTTATGATTGATGCACAGCAACAAAGTCACACCAAGCCGAATTTTAGTGTAACAAAGGGGTGGGAACATTCGTCTTTAAAATAAGAAAAATTTTTTCCCTTTTATCTCTCTTACTTCATTCCTCATGTCTACTGAATTAAAGCGCATCTTTGACCAATTCAACCACAAGCACAAGTGAGTCACAAAAGAGAACCATTGAGCAACAATACTGATAAATATCATATAGCTCTGCCCCTGCACCCAAGATTTCAAATACTATTTTGGATAACATTGGACGTACGCCTTTAGTTCGTATCAACAAGATTAGTAAAGAAGCTGGTTTAAAGTGTGAACTTTGTAAGTTTTACTTGTGTGTGCATTAATATATAACTAACATTTTTCAAGTGGCCAAATGTGAATACTTTAATGCAGGTGGTTCAGTAAAGGACCGTATTGCTCATCGCATGGTTGAAGAAGCTGAAAAATCTGGCGTGCTTATTCCCGGAGTGAGCACAATCATTGAACCTACATCTGGTAACACAGGTATCGGCTTAGCTCTTGCTGGTGCTGTCAAGGGCTACCGTGTGATCATTACTTTGCCCGAAAAAATGTCACAAGAAAAGGTTGATGTCTTGAAGGCTTTGGGCGCAGAAATCATCCGTACACCTACTGAAGCAGCTTGGGATGCCCCAGAATCACACATTGGTGTTGCAAAGAAGTTGAGAGATGAAATTCCTCATGCTGTCATTTTGGATCAATATGCCAATCCTTATAACCCTGTTGCCCATTACGATACTACAGCTGAAGAACTCTTGGAACAATGTGATGGTAAGATTGACATGTTGGTTGCTGGTGCAGGTACTGGTGGTACCATCTCTGGTCTTGCTCAAAAGCTCAAGGAAAAGCTTCCCAACATCAAGATCGTGGGTGTCGATCCCGTGGGTTCTATTTTGGCTCAGCCTGAATCATTAAATACCGAAGCAGGTTCTTATCAAGTTGAAGGTATCGGTTATGACTTTATTCCCGATGTGCTGAAGCGTGAATTGGTGGATGTTTGGATCAAGTCTGAAGACAAGCCTTCTTTCTTGATGTCTCGTCGCTTGATTCGTGAAGAAGGTATTCTCTGTGGTGGTTCATCTGGTACTGCCATGTACGCCGCCGTTCAAGCTGCCAAAGAGTTGAAGGAAGGTCAACGTTGTGTGGTTATCTTGCCTGACTCTGTCCGTAATTACATGACCAAGTTCTTGAACGACGATTGGATGAGAGAACGTGGTTTTACTGATGAAAAGTTTGAAGATCAAAGCTTTGAAAACAAGGCCAAGAAGGACTTTGCTGGTGCCACCGTTCGCGACTTGAAGCTTGCTGCTGCCGTGACCGTTGACGGTGAAACAACCTGCAAGGAAGCTATTGATTTGATGGAACAAAATAACTTTGATCAATTACCAGTGACTGCTGGCCCTAAGCGTCGCCTTAGAGGTTTGGTCACAATGGGTAACATTCTTTCTCGCATTGCCTCTGGTCGTGCTTCCCTCACCACCCCTGTTTCTGCTGTCATGTTCCACTTTACAAAGGGATCCAAGAAGTTTGAAGAAATTACTCAAGACACACCTTTGGAAAAATTGACTCGTTTCTTCGAAACCAATTCTAGCGCCTTGGTTACCGAAGGCAATGAAGTGAAACATGTTGTTACCAAGGTTGATTTGCTTTCTTACTTGGTTAAGAATGTTAAAGCATAAATTCGTGTAGTTCTGGTTAATAGCGTATGCTTATGTAATCATCTTACCCTATCCCTCCCCTTACTTTCTATTTCGCATATATACACACATTCACACTTACCAAAGAAAAAAGGATGTATTTATAATAAATCATGTCATCCCAAGACTATACATTATCGGCTACAGTCAAAGACATATTTTTTGTATCATGAGGTTATCGTGTATAGTTTACACATCAATCACCAAACTGGATTTTTGGTGCTACATCATCGAGTCTGTTTTTAATTTTTATGAATCAAGGCATTGCTTTTATTGTTGATATGCATTGCAGGAACAAAAAAAGGGGATGTAAAATTAGAACAATGGCTATTTTTATTATTATGCATCACTTATACAACAATGCTTGCATATAAACTTTAACAATAAAAAAAACAAGGACATATCTTGAAGCGGCTTTACGGAAAGAAAGATATTTGGGGTGTATTTTCAAATAAAAAAAAGAGTGAGCGATCAATTGAGTTTGTATTTTCTACAAACGAGGTTTTTAGACAATTGCATATGATCTATTACATATAATGCATGTAGCAGCAACGTATGTCACCTAGTCACTTCCATTTTGATTTCATTCTGTCGGTTTATTAATAGTATCACGAAGGAAGAGAAGAACCTCTTGATCAACAGAACTCACATGGCGGGGAGAAAGATCCGAGGACTTGAGCGGATTTTTAAATAATTCGTATAACTGCTTCGATTTGTCGTGATCTTGATCTTTCTTTCCCTATATTTTTTTTCTTTACATGTCAAACGAATCAAAAATCGTAAAGATACTCAAATCAAGGCTATTGATTAAACCACCTGTGGACTCAGATCCTAGATTGCTTTCATCAAAGACAAAGGGCATCATATTGGTTGCTCTTGCCCTTTGCGCATGTACACCTGGTTTCTCAAGTACAATTTACTTTCCAGGTTTGTTCAATGCTCCCTATCAATGATGGAGATATTCAACTATATATGTGTAGGTTTGCCCGCCATCACTTCAGATCTACATGCGCCCGCCATTGCCACTACACTGACAGCAGCTCTATTCGTCTTGGCAATGGGCATTGCTCCTGTCTTTTGGGCATCATTATCTGATTTCTATGAGGTTCGACGTGTGCTCTTCCTTGCCTCCATGCTCATTTTCGCAGCAGCATCAATTGGGTCTGCTTTTATCAACAATATTTGGGGCCTTGTCGTGCTTCGTTGTGTTCAATCCGTTGGATCATCCTGTGGACAGTCTGTGGGTGCAGGTAATGAAACATAAAAACATCATCATTTCGTTATGTTCTTATTCCCTCTTGTAGGTGTTGTTGCTGTAAGTCATGCCATGAAGCGCAATTAAATATCTAATGATCTCATATATGCATTTAGGATTGTTATCCCATTGAGAAAAGAGGAGCTGCATTTGGTAAATACTTCTTCGGTGTGTTCTTCGGCCCTCTGCTAGGCCCCATCATTGGTGGTTTCCTGATCATGAGTAACCTTTCATGGCGTGCAACCTTTTGGTTTTGCTTTGCTTTTGGTTTGTTCATCTTTACGCTCGTCTTTTTTGTATTCCCAGAGACGTATCGAGATAATGCAAAATTTGATCAGCAATTGCCTACAGTACATCCCAACAACAAACAAGTACCTGTTTCATCATCCGCATCAACAGCAGAGACAGTGGATCAACCAACTGAAGCCAAGGTGGCAATAGAGAATAACGAACCTAGCAAGTTTGCAACCGAAAGTACAACTACCGTTTATCAAGAAAAGCCAGCTAATAAGGACGCTGCTGTTTCAAAGAAGAGCATTAATCCAATTGCCCCATTTTTATTATTAAGACATCCCTTTGTCTTTTTGGCTGCATTTGCTTCTGGTGTTGCATTTGGCACGATGTTTGCTATTGAAACTATTACTCCTGATCTATATGAAGTTCACTATGGGTTTAACTCATGGCAAACAGGTAATTTACACAACAAAGACAAAAAAAAACGGTAAACTTATCATATAAAGGTTTGAGTTATCTTGGAGGTGGTATTGGTAACCTTTTAGGCGCTATTCTCACCAGCAGGATATCGGACAAATTGTTACTCCGCGCTCGAAAGCTTCGTGGAGGACAGGAGATAACAGAAGATCGACTAACGATTAACCTTTGGCCGGCGTTTTTCATCTGTATGCCCTTTGGTACCTTACTCTATGGCTGGACTGTTGAGCGTGGTTTTACCGTATGGGCACCCATTGTCGGCTTTGGTATCTTGAACTTTGGTATGAACCAGATCATGACAGCTACCTCAGCTTATCTTGTCGATGCTGTTCATGGGAAAGGCGCTTCGGTCACTGCCGCTGCTAATCTAGTTCGTATGGTCATCGCATGTGTCTTGACCATCGCTGCCAATCCTATGGTAGCTGCTATTGGACCTGGTTATACGTGTGTCTTTTTGGCATGTTTTTGTTTCCTGGGTGCTTCGTTCATGCTCACATTGAAGTTGAAGGGTGAAAAGCTGAGACACTGGAGTGGTTATTAATAGAAAAGCTTGCATTATATTAACCTTTGATCATTACATTAATAGAACTACATTGTATATTTACTGTTTTAATAATAAACACATATAAACTCTTTATTATTATTTCTATACATTATTATGCAGATTTGATCTCTGCTGAAACCTTCTGTACGGTTTCGAGGTATACTCTTAAAGCTTCTGGATCAACAGTTGGCAAGATACCATGTCCCAAATTTGCGATATGTCTACCATCTTTACCAAACGCATGTACCATGCGAGTAGCAATCTCGCGGATAGCATCAAATCCTCCATATAAAACATTGGGATCCATATTACCTTGTAAGGCAACCTTATCCTTCGTCACTTTGCGAGCATACACTGGATCAACCGTCCAATCAAGTGAAACAACTTCGTAACCCGATTCTGATAAATCCTCAAGGGCGTACCATGACCCTTTGGCAAAGATAGTCATTGGTACTTGGTTGTCCTCGCCCAGCTGTTCTTTCACTCTTTTGGAAATTTGTCGAATATATGGAAGAGAATATTCCTTGAAATCTTGAGGAGAGAGTTCGCCACCCCATGATTCAAACACTTGAAGCATCTGTTGGGCATAGAATGAGATGGTGATCCATCGACTTTTTTTTTTTTTTTTTACCTGAGCACCTGCTTTTACTTGACCCACCAAAAATTCAACAGCAATATCGGTAATACGCTGTAACAGATCATGCGATTCCTTGGGGTATTTCCACAACCAACTCTTTGCCTTTGACAGTGTCTTACTTCCTCCACCTTCGATCATGTATGCCATCAATGTCCAAGGAGCACCGATGAAACCAAACAAGGGAACACGGCCTTCCAATTTATGACGAGTGAGAGTGATTGCTTTATAGACATATCCCAATTCCTTTTCGACATCCACCTTTTCTGTCAAACGAGAAAAATCGGCGGGCGTTTCCAGGGGTGCGGGAAACACAGGACCCTTGCCTGCGACCATTTGTACTTCTAAACCCATTGCTTGAGGAATAACCAGAATGTCTGAAAAGATAATCGACGCGTCCAAAAGTGTGCCGTAACGGTCAATAGGCTGAAGTGTCAACTCACAGGCAAGCTCAGGTGTGCGACAAATTTCAAAAAAGCTGTGGTTCTTTCTGACCTCTTGGAACTCTATCATTGGTATAAGATATCAGTTCTTTTTTGAAACAATGCTGTTAGTTACCTGGCAAATATCGTCCTGCTTGTCTCATAATCCATATGGGTGTTCGTTCTACCTTTTCGCCTATTGTCCGTATGAGTATTTAAAGTATGAACATAGATCTACATACCTCGAGAAACACGAAGGATAAGATCGTTTTTGAGTGGTGGAAAGTTTTCTGGTTTGAACAAGTCAGTCATTATAAAAAAAAAGAATAGGAAAAAGGGAATAAAAAAACAAAAAAGTTGTCCACCCTTTCTTAGGTTAATAAAGCTTACTCAGTGGCTTTTTATATTGGTGGCCTGCCCGCTGGTATTTAGTCGCCGCTACTGTGCTCATCGTCAAGTTAACCCAAGACAGTACGATCCGATGCAATATTTGGTCAGTGTTCCCCTGCTTGTCATACTCCGTCTTTATATGTTCTATGTGGAGCACATACCAACCACTTAATGGCGTTTAATTGAGTTTACTGTTGCATTATGTTGTTCTTTGGCCTTTTTTTTTTTGAAAAACCACACTAGTATATACGCGCGTATGCATGCGTGTGTCTCTTGCTTATTAAAGCGATCATCCTATCAAACTATACGAGAGCGGAGACAACTCATTGACTACTTGTGACATTGACATCTTTTTTTAATAACCCGACACTTTTTCTCTTTTTTTTTTTTTTCTTTTTCCAGTTAAACAATGAGCAGAAGGGAACGTCACGATCACAATGATGACGAAAAAAGACACAAACGATCAAAGCATTCAAGTTCAAGCAAAGTGACTATAGACCGTAAGATCAAGTCTTTGTGATACCTACAGCGAGTTGAAGATCAGATGGGTTTTTACACCATGCATAATTTTTCTTTTTGTTTAGCCATTGATGAAGATGATTACTATGAAAAGTCAGCCGAGTTCAGACTGTGGTTAAGAGAGCATAAAGATGTATATTTCACAGACTTGAGTTCAAAAGAGGCAAGACGATACTTTAAAAAATTCGTCAAGAGGTGGAATAGACATGAATTAGAAGGTAAAGCATATGCCTTGTTTTTAAAAAAAGCGTTAACAACAAAATAGACAAGTACTATAAAGGCATGAATTCTTCACAGCTTGAGTCATCGGATACAACAAATTACAAGTGGTCATTTGCTAAAAAATTGGACAAGTTTGAGATGGATAGCGTACGTGATTCAGTGGACAGTATGACGGGTCAGAGTCGTGGAGAGGATAGGATAAGTAGAGGCCAAAGAAGAAATGTGGGTCCTAGCATGCCTGATGCATTTGGTAACTACGAATTGTAGATAATGCATTATATTAAACTTTATTTTAGAAAAGGAAGAAGAGTACGAAAGGAGACAAGCAGAGCGTAAATATGAAGCAAAGAAAAGAAAGGATAGAAGAGAGATGATGCTTGACGAAGTTGCACCACGAGAGGTGGGTCGTGAGGCACAGTTGTTGAAAAAGAGAGCCTTGAATGCCTATCATAAACGCGAAAGAAGTCCTGATGTAGAACTAAGTGAAGCAGACTTGATGGGTGGCGATGATTTTCAAGCAATGTAAGTCTAAACTTGCCAAAAAAGAATGCGAGAAAAGTTGCTCATATGTTCATGTTAGGTTGGCAGCAGAGCGACGACGTAAAGAGCAAAGAGAAGCACGTAGAGCAGAAAAGCGTGCTCCTATATTAAACAAGATGGAGGAATATAAAGCCAAAGAGAGTGCTACGATGGAAATGTTCAAGAAGATGGCTGAAGAACAGAGAAGAAGAGGGAACTTTTAAAAGAAGCTTTTATTATACATATACATATTAAATCTACCAGGCCATATCTTTTTTATCTAGCTTTGCATCATGTAAAATACCACCAGGGACACGGGGTGGCGGTGTATAGACCTCTTTTGGATCACGAGGCTGTATCATCCCTAATTCCTTTTCTTCGACTTTAATTTCTGAGAAATGCTTTACCCTAAGCACAGTTGGATCTAATTCTCCTGCTTTTTCAATTTGTTCTTTTTGCTACGATTAAACTGTGAGTTATATCATTTCACACATGTATCAAAAGAAATCACTTACTGCCTTTGATTGTTTGCCAATGCCCATCTGTGGTAATCCACGGTTAAGACCCTCCAAGAGCATACATGCTTTACATATAGAGTTAGAAGACATGTATCCACAACGAGTACAGGTCATGGAAGTAGGCATCTTTGTATCTGATTTGATTTCAAATGCTTCACCAGAATGTATGATGTCTAATAGAAAAGTGTGTTAATATAAACAATTATTGAAAATAATCATAGTTACCTATAATAGCACTAGGTCTGACTGACTCGAGGTCTTTCAAAAACGTACGAGCGTATCCACGATAGGCATTAGGAGAGTATATACATTCAGTAGAAAAGTAATCAAGCTTTTTAAAGTAGGCATACATGACGATTTCTTTCTCATATGTATACTTGAATGGCTTTGATCGCTTGATTTCACTTTCACCTTGAGTAACAATTTCTGTACATCTTCCTAATCTAGCAATATCACCACGGAAGACTAACAATGTATGAATATATATATGTATTTGTATTTGAGTGATCTCTTTTACTTACTGTTCATCAATATAGTTTCTGCTATATCATCTGCATTATGTCCTGTCACGATATGTTTAATTCCCAACATGGCTGAACCACGATCCAGCGCTTGTCGTCTAAATACACCACAGTAAGTGCAATTGTTCTTTCTTCCCACTTCGCTCACAATTTCATCCATACTCCAACCATAAAGTTCTTGGTATGAAACTATTTTTAAGGGAAGTTCATATTGTTGCTGATTGCGCTTTACTGTTTCAAGGGAGTCGTCTCTGTAGCCTGTGATGCCTTCGTCGACAGATAATAAATATAGATCCAGTCCGTAATCGTACCGATCATTCAACGTTTTCATAACATGAGCCAAGACAGTTGAATCTAGGGTTATAATTAGTATTATATATATTTTCCTCTTTGTTGCATACCCTTTCCGCCACTTGCTCCAATAGCAACCTTTTCTCCTCTTTTAAACAGTTGGGTATCTTGAATCGTATGGTGAATCTCGGTTTCAAAGACATAAAAAAAGCATTCTTGACAGATCTGTTGGCCAGTCTTGGGTCGTTTCAATACTGCTCTGTTTTTTGCACAAAGAACACATAATTTGACCATGTTTGGGACTTTTTAAAAAATGGAAGAGCCACACAAAAAAAAAAAAATTTGGCTCACTTCAGAAAAAAAAAATCGGGGCACCAATTGTTTACCGCTCTTAATATAATCTCAGTTGGCTTCACTCTGACTCCCAATTTGATCTTATCGTCTCAACATTGAAAGGTGTGGGGAGGAAAGGAAAGGACAGCACTTTATAAGCTATTATATAAATAAAGCCTATTTCTGAGAGTGTCTATTACATTTTTCTTCTTCGTTTACAGGTTTTTAATCTAGATATCTGTATACACTTGTAAAAACCTGAAGATTTTTATCTATAGTGTTCTACAGGAACAGTCAAACCTGTGGGATTTGGCGTTTTCAAAAAAAAAAAAAAAAAAATGACGGAATCTTGAAAATGAATGGCTAAAGTAGAAAATTGATTATATCGCATGTGGTCAACACCATCCATGGCAATTCAACAGTCACACATCGCCTATTTTATCATTTCAGGTGTACACAGACATCACTTTATTGAAGGACAACCAGCTATTTTTTTTTAAAAAAACATGGATCTGCGTAATCTACTTAATCAGAACGACGAAAGCAGCAGTAGTAATGATAATAGTAACCTATCGCTTAATGACCTTAAAAGATTACTATCAGCTGGCGATAATTCAAAGTCTATTGAGAAAATTACCAATGCCACGTTTGCTTTTCCACATTCAAAACACGAGTCTTTTGTTTTTTTTAATGTCTTTATACAGCTGCTGCTTTCTATTACGCATGAAGAAGACCTTTACGATACAAATTATACAAGATCGATTATTATCGATTCTTTACGTACATGCATTAATGGACTTCTAAGGCAATTTGGCATGAGCTGGTTACTTGAAATTTCTCAGCACTTTAATTTGAAGACGTGGATCGCTTTACACAGTAGCAAAGATATCAGCATCCTCATTTATCTCTATGGTCTTGTTCTCGCTCTATCAAGAAAATCTGAAATTATGTATACTCCAGAATGGATTGAAGGATTGGTCAACTTTATTCAATCAGACACACATGAAGTGATTACACATCTTTGGCTAAGCGCTTGTACTCTAGATGACGCACACAATAAGGACGACTTTAAGAACTTATTTGTATATACTATGGAAACTAGACTAGAAACACAACAAGAAATGGAACGAAAACGACTGACAGAGGCACTACAGCACATGCTGTTGTTATTGAAAAATGCAGATACTGAGTACCTTGCAGCTCGAGTGGATCAGCAACTTGGAAGCGCACTCACAAGACCACCCTTCACAAAAGACGAATTTATGATTGGAATGATGCAACTAGAGGCCTACAGTCTGTCGAAACACGGCCTGCTTTATCCTAAACTATACCATGCCTTTAAGAAAGTCAATAATACAAATGGTAAAAAAAAGCATACTTTAACCTTTATCCAAGTAAAGGAACTGACTTTTTTTTTTTTTTTTTTCAATAAGAAAAGGCAGGCAGAACCCCAGGAAAGAACCCACTTATGGACTATGCTCCTTTGCTTTCTCCACCTAGCGATAACCAGCTTTATACCCAGAAATGTATGATGGACGCATCCTGTTTTTGGACACGAAAATTAGGTGATATGATACCTGAAGAATTTGATTTGCACATGAAAAACCTGATCATACAACATTATCCAACAGAACAAAAGACCATCCTGGACTTAACGTTGGCCAATTGGGCTGTGAGAGACCGATTCAGACGACATCGAGACTTGATCATTGATACCGTCATCTCTTTGCTAAAGAAGCCTCGATATAATAACCGCACAGCGCCTTTTTATGCGTTTATACAACTATTTAATCTACAGGAGGAACAACTGCAGCTCACAGAAAGTAACACATATAAAGTGAAATCAGGCGCCTTGATTGATGTGGTCCAATTTGGCAACTGTGCAGATCAGAGTTTAGTGGAAGGTTGTCTTTTGATTCTAAAGAGGATAACCGAAGCAGAGACAACCTACTCGAGTAAACTGGAGAACTGGGTTGGAGACTGCTTACGGATTACAAAGCCAGATGTTGCTCAACGGTATATTGAATGGCTGTGCAAGCAAATACGAGAAAAACAGACGCATTCGATATACGCGCGATATCTGCTTACGGCATTAAAGGACACACCGCATCTATCCATTTACATCGTCCCTGTTCTACTACGCTATTTTGATGAAAAGATGCTACACTGGCTATTGACCTCACCCGATCCAAAAGTAGCAAGCAAGATGTTTTCACATTATTTTGGAGATGGAGCACAGGCATCGAAGCATTTACTGGTACATGACTTGTATACAAGTAAATCCAGTGCATTTATGAATAAGCTCTTTTCGTTTCTAAGCGACGAAATGTCTGATACAAGTCCGTCGTCTCCCAAGTCAAGAGCATGGTTTAAGAACCATTTCTTGGGCCCCATGCTGTCGGTGGCCGGTCGTGGCGGTAACAACAACGTTGCAGCCTATTTCTTTCGACAGTTTTTCAAAACCAGCAGAGATTTCGAATGGTACTTTCAAACGCCACTTGTAGATCAACAGCTTCCATTCTCGTTTCTCGATATTTCCAAATCACACGACATATATACCATTCGACATACAGGACTTGCTTCTGCCTTACAAGAGATGGCTCGGCTGGAAGAAAATGAAAAGAAGGAGCTTGTCAAGATGTGGTTTAGTCTTTGGACGGCGCCCCAAGAAAGTTCTTACCGGTTTACTGTCCCTGTCAGCTGGATACTGCAGTGCTCTGGTCTTTATGATCAGGCGCCTGTCGTGGTAAAGCAAATGATAAAACAGTTTATAAAGATCGGTATGGATACCACGTATCAACAAGGCTCCTTGGAAAGAAGCTTTGTGGATCGCATGATGGACTTGGTCCTGTTATCGGATACCCCCGAGCCCGACAGTTTATTTGATCTGTTCTTGTCGGTAGCTATTGACGAATCCACACGATCATCGGCTCAGGCTATTCAAGAGCAGATAATGACAGATATTGTCAACGTGCTTGTGGAGATATCAGAGGAACTGGAGATCGAAATGAAACTTCTGTCCACCTCAGCAGAGCAGCAACCAACGAATGCTACACGAATGAAGGAACCAAGGAGAAAGGTGACGAAAAGGAGAAATATCAAAAAGATGAGAAAGCTTCTACTGAAACAACAAGCCGAACTTGAAGAGTCTTTACAGAAATCGGTTCAAAGTGGAGAACGATCCGTCAAGGCGCTGACAACGCTTGCTCAGCGCGCCTTGAATTTTCTACTCTCTCTTTTAAATCAAACAGCGGTTGATAACTTGAAGCAGGATATACAGTACAAGTTGATACATATGCCGTTATTCTATGAGCCATTGGCTAAATTAGCTAGCTTGATTCGTCAGCCAGAGGATTTACAAGAAGATATACAAACGATGATAGAGACCAGTCTAGGTTTCTTAAAGAACCATAATGATGAAAATATGTATACAGTAGCTCAAAACATTCTACAAAGCGCATTGTAAATAAAGGCTTTTTTTTTTAATAATGATGTATTTTATTATTTACACAAGAATTACAAATATACAATTAATAAATAGACTCTGGATCATGTAATTGCAACAAATTGGATCCACTAATCACCTGTTCGCCTTGTTTATCTTTCATATTTCCAGAATATGTCACTATATTCGCCACAACACCTTCTGTTCCCTTATTTTCATGTTTCAATACATCAATAGCATGTCCCACCACGAGCAATCCGGGAGGTCGACTTCCTCCACACCGTTCGAGTATGCTAGCAATTCTCGAGAGTGGACCATAGATCACTCTTTGATCCTTACAGCTTGCTCTTTCGATGATAGCGCATGGTATATCTGCTGGATAATTCTGTTTAGATATTAAATCATGTGTGATTGCTTCTAATCGATGAATAGCCATCAAGAACACATCTGTACGGTGCTTTTCGTAGGTTGGTAGAGGAGCCGGAGACTTTTGAGCCCCCGTGCCTGTCGTGACCAAGAATTGAGACGCGACCGAGCGATGCGTGAGTGGTATGCCTGCCAAGAGAGGTGCAGCGACAGAAGAAGAAATACCAGGGATGACACGAGGGATGATGTTGTGTTTGCGAAAGAACAAGACTTCTTCTCCACCCCGTCCAAATAAGTAAGGGTCACCTTGCTTTAATCTCACGACCTTCTTTCCTTGCTGAATGGCCTTCAATGCCAATTCATTAAACTCCTCCTGTGCCGCATCCGCGTTACCTGGGAACTTGCGCGCTATCTTGAGTTCACATTCAACAAGAGCAACCACTTCTTCGGGCACGATTTTATCTGAGAGGACAAGATCAGCTTCCTTGATCGCTTGATGAGCGGCGACCGTCAAGAGTCCTGGATCTCCTGTACCAGCGCCTACCAACGTAATCGACCCTTCTCTTGCATCGTTTGATGTAACTGAGCTTTCGTAACCTTCGTCGTGGTGATAAGCCTCTAATAGATCGTTCATGTCTTTATCCGACAGCTGTGCCAATCGTTCCATACTCCAGTATTCACAGATCTGAGCCAACCACTTCATTCGTCTGATACTTGCTGCTGAGCTTGGGTCTGAAGCACGAATCTTTTTGCGAAGTAAGCCCATTTTTCTGACAGCGTCGCCTAGATGAGGAGGTAATGTAGAAGCGATGTGACGACGGATCCGGTTGGATAGTTTAGAGGCTTGACCATTGGTAGACACAGAGACCTGAAGTGATTGATCTCGGTAGGTCGAAGTCATGAAGAAATCACACAAGCGAGTCTGATCCGAGACATTGACTGGAACCCTGTGTTGACGGAAATGCTTGACGACAGAGTCTATATCCAACTGTCCGAAAAGATTACCTGTACTACAGCAAATAAATGCAAGATCAAACGTATGACTGGTCAATACATTGGAGTTGAATTCGGATCCCAACAGGATGACTTGATGACTCTCGACTCTGTATTTTAACTCGGGACACATACGATCAGGATTTGCAATCAAGAAAACACGAGCGTCTGCTTCTAAGCAAGAAAAAGCACGATTGGCAGCAATGGAGTTGTCACCGATAATAAGCATATTTTTTTGGTGGCCTTGAAAGGCAAGCATGAGTGATGCACCAGGCTGAGGTATAGGAAACGTAGTATGTTCGGTCATAAAGAATGAAGAAAAAAGGATAAAAAAAAAGATGAGCTTTATTATCAATGATCATTGATAATCATGGCAAATCAAATTGGTCCAAAATGATACAAGTGATTCATTAGCCAATCAAATCGAGTTATTTGAATAGGTTGCAAATTGCGTACTTCAATTGCGTGCTGAACTTGAGTAAGAATAAGTAAGGGACCATAAAGATCCAAATCTGAGCTAATTCTACGATGGAGGTCTTTAATTTGATAGGCACAGTGACGCTATTGTCGTCAAATGAGCTTGTTCGATAGAATGTGTCCATCAGTTGATCCTTTTCTGCCCATCTGTCAAAGGTCCACTGGTTGAATTCCTGCTCATTGTGATATGGAATAGAGTCCACCCGATATCGACGTATATGAATATGGATTTGCTTTGGATATTGATTAAAAAAAAATATGCTTTGGATAGTAAACACATTTTCTGGTATCTCGTTTGGCTTTATGCCAGAATATCCAATAGTAAAATCATACACATATTCTATGCTATCTTCCAAAACAGTTGTACATAACCTTAATCCAGTTGATCTTGGTAGCAAGGTATAACGATTATCTTTCTAGAAAGGAAATGTTAGCACACATATGCTTAATGACTTATTACTATGCTTTACCATGTTATTCTTTTCTGCATATTCTTTGGATTTTTTACGAGTACAGTCGGAGATGACAGTTCCTTCGGGAAAGAGTACTAACCACATGGGCAGATGATGCCTTTTTGATCTTTGTAGGTTATTAATAATATTGTTCTTATCGAATGCCAACTTTCTTTTTAAAAAGATAAAGTCAAAAAACTTCATTCCCTAAGCAAAGCTAAGTATATTGTTCATAAGTTATGATGAACATACCCTTTTGAAAGTATGAGTAAAGTAGTATTTATGCATTGAATGAACTTACGTTCCATAAATGGGTAAATATTCTAAACTTTTCTTCAAAATAATTTTCACTGCACCATGTGCGCCTGCTAAATGTGCAATACCCCAAATATAAATCCAGTCAGCATAAATCTATCAAATTAGTCAATATATACCCCTTTCTACGCACAGGGGGGACAATTGTTTTTTTTTTTTACTTGATGATTTGCAATGACAATCATTCTTTCTGGAAGATGTAAGCCTGTAATATGATTTGAGTCATCAGACTGTAAAATATCTTGTACTGGTCCACAGCTCTTGTCAAAGGTCAACACGTATTCAGAGGGTGCAAATAGTTCCACCAAGGCAATTAAATTTTGAGACCACATTCTCATGGTGTATGAAATAAACTGACGATAGAGTTTATATGAGAATGGATATAGTATCAAAGAAAAGAGTTGTGTGAATACAATACAGGTTGACTGAAAGAATAAGCCAAAATTGACAAATAGAATCTGCATGATAGTATTAGGTGACCATATTGGCTGCGTTGTCGTTATACTTGGTTTATCAATCACTGTTGTAGATGCTGTTGACATTGTATTAGAAAGAAAAGAAAGAAAGAAAAAAATGATGCGTGCACCCCTTTAGATGATAATTTATTTATGGGGCAACAACTATAAACACTAGTCTACGTCATGTGATGTAGTATGCATTGACAGACATGCTTAATCTAATTGACTCCGATCCCATTTTGAATGGCCTATGGATATATGTCAGCAGAAAGAGAGAGAGGGCGGATAAAGACGGTGAAAAGTCACATCAGCAAAAGCCCTTACACAGCAAGTGCTTGATACTTGGAAAGATGAAGACGACGAATATCTAGCTTTGGATGTTGAGATTGTTGAAAAAAGAATTCAGCAAGCTAGACATGAAGAAGCCCTCATTATTGCTCTTTGAACTAACGATTTTTTTTTTTTTTGAAAGACCAAAAAATAACTTTCAGCAGAAACTAGAAGAAGAGAGAGAGAGAAGAGCAAATAAATGACGAGTTGGGCAAGATAAAATACTCTGGCTGTGGACCATTGTGACATAAGTTGAAAACAAACAGTGATCAAACACGACAGTTTATACTTTAAAAAGCATTAGACACAACTTTGATATCAATCAGTGCTATCACTTGGATATTTAAGAAAATATCTAAAACTGAGGCTTGTTTGCAGTTTTATAAACTCTACTATTTTCATTTTGAATGCAATATAAAAAAAGATTAGCCTACGTCATGTAGTGTAGACTAAGGACTCATTCAATGTATTAAGCATGCATCATATGCTGAGTGCTCATGCATTGACCATGATTTGTACCACAGATATCAGTGACAAAGCAGATCATGTTGTCTGTGTCAATTAGTTATCAACTAGAAGCTATTAAAAATGATATCAGCTCTATACGTTGTTTATTAGTGAATGTACACAGTAAACTAGGACGGGTACCTCAAAAGGCTTAAAAACACGTGCATTATGGCATTAGTTTGTCTGATAATTTTCAAGCGAATAAGATGAAGGAATTAAGTGACAATAGCATGTCTTAAAAGTATCCCGAACTATCACATTTTTTTTTAATTAATCTCGGTCCATAAGCTACTACTCGTCATCGATTTTATAGGAAAAAAATAAATACATCCAAAGAAGACAAAAGATTCAATTCAACATGGCTTGGCCTGTATTCAATGCTAGGCATTATATTTATTGTTCACAAAGTCATTCTTGTCACTCACCAATATCTCCGAACGTCAAACTTCGGGAGGAGGGAAATGCAATTATCACCTGATAGGATAACATGTATAAAGATGAAGCCGAGATCGTTGTGTATTTGAAAGATATACAACGCGTTTCACTCCATCTCAAGGCTCATAAATCTTGGCTGTGGGACCAAGCTGGTGTTTATGGCCAAACCAAACTTTTTTGAATCCCGTTGTTTGTCACATCTCTTTGTGCAAAGTGGACAAAGCTCAGTCTTGTATTCTTTGAACCTTGTATAGATCGCATTGTGTAAACCTGTGTCTCTCTTTTATTCAGCGCATTAGATGAGAGTGAGTAATGAATCAAGATGAGGGGTTACTAAATTTTAAAATAATGTAGTAATAAATTTCGTTAAATTGAATTCATTGACCAGATATGACTCCCTCTGTCGCTCTCTCTCACACAGCTCAACATAAAAAAGGGAGCAAGACTCATGTATTTGCAAATATCCTTTATAATTGATAGCTATTGATCCTCACAGGCTTCTTATATGTTGTAAATACTATATGACAGTGATTATATCAATTGAAAATCTTTTTGTTCTTCTTGAGTTTCCTTTTTTGAATACATCTGCGACTATATATTCCATCTTTTTTTATTATAAAAAGATGGCCCAGAACGGGGTACTGGGTTTTTAGTATCACTCTAGACACCTGTAGATGAAACTTGATCAATAGAAGTACTTGCTTGATACGTAACAATGACGCGGAGATGTGCACAGGCCGGGCGATGCTTTTGGTATTTCCTTGCAATTAAGTTTGTTCCGAGTGATGTGAGATTCGTACAACTTGCAATCGATTATACAACAAAGACTATTATCAGCTAGTAACGCTTTTCTTTTTATTGGGCCGCTCGTTTGGATAAACGTTGGACTCTGTAACACGAAGCTATGGTTTGTTACATTGTCCGTCATAAATGGTGGCACTTGGTACACATGTAATCTGTCTGTGAATGAGATCATTCAGTGTCTGGACTTCTTATCTACGCGTTTCCTCAACTTTTTGTTTTTTTTTATCAGTAAATATGATCGCCAAGGATGAAATCACATTTATTGAAATTAATGAATAATAAAAAGTAAAGTAAAGTAAAAGGGCTTAGGGCTAATGGTTGACTTCCTTGGCTTTCATCTTTTTTTTTTTCTACCTGTGGCTTTTTGTGCAATATGTGCACGGAGGTTGCTCGGCCCTGGATTTTTTAGTTTATCATATGGATTGTTCAATGAGTAAAGCTTCCATATGATTCTCCTATATGATTTCGCCACCAGCTCTACAGCGTGGATTGAGAATATAGTCTTGTGGTACAAGTATAGAGCGAAAAAAGTGCAACAGTTACCCCGTACACAGGGTCCCAAGAGCGCAGCCCCTCTCTCTCTCTGTTTAGTAAAGTAACTGAAGGTCTTCGTATTTCCTGTGGTTACATCAAGTTACCATGTCTGAATATAAAATTACTATAAATATTGCAAACGATGTCGAGTAGAATCTAAAGTTCCTCTTTTCTTCTTTATATTTATTTTCTTGTTTATATTAATTTATATATTCTTTGTAATTATTTTCTGTATAAAAAAAAATTGTAAATGTATAAGCAGCCAGTCTTCAACTCATTTGACAGCGTCAACAGTCTTAAAGATCTAAATACGCAGCCATTAACACACGCAAACCTTTCCAAAATTCGATTGGTGGATCCATCTGAAACTCCTTTGGCGCGGTATTGCTCAACGGTGCATGGCAGCCAAACGTCTTTGAAAAAGAAGCGACACCAAGACTGCGTTCTTGAATCACCTCGCATTGTGGCTTTTCCTTATCACAACGACTCGTTCTTTTTGCCTACTGCCGAGCATGATTACCCTGGAAGCGGATTAGACACAGCATCTATCGCCAGCTTATCTGTTCACACCATTGGCAGTCGTAGTACTTTACGACAACCACCTTCGCCTGTGAGCGCTGGGTTTCGCCGCAGCTCTTTTCAACGACGCATGTCCGCCACGACCCGGGATCATGGCTCGATCACCTCCAAGAACAGTCGCAGTTTGTATAACAATAAGAGACGATCCGCCAGCTTTTCTACTGTGTTGACTCATTCAGAACAAAGCTCCAAACATGGCAGCAAGCGACTGGGACGAAGGCTCAAGCAAGGCTTGCTCCGTTTCAAATCTACCATCACTCTCAATTCACACGATGAACTCTATTCCAACAGCTCATCCTCTGTTCCCTCTTTAGCTTCGACCAAGACATCTCTTACCGAAGACGAAACTGAGCCTAGTGCTCATCGTACTTGGTATAAAAAACTCTGGAAGTTTATCAAGCCTACTGAAAAGTCTAGAACTGAAGCCATTCTGTCTCCTACTGATCCTGTCTGGTACACTCAATACAGATCTAATCCCTCTTTGTAATTTCGTCATTCTCTATTGTACATTATCGTTAAAAAACTGTATACATTTATGAAAAAAAAGAAACTGGTTTTTTTCTTTTTTTTTTTCAACAATTAAAAACAGCTTTTGTCTTCTATTAATAGACTTTAGTATTTTCTTTATTGTGTATTTTATGTACAACCTGGTCTATTCGCTTTCTTTTATAAAGATAAAAAGTATAATCGGATGAAGAGACCTTTTATGACACATTTGTATGACAAAAAAGGTCTCACACATTTTTTGCTTTGAATGGGAAACAAAAAACGTGTTGGCTAGAACTTGTCGGTATTTCCATATTTGTTTTACAATATTGCACTCTTTCCGGAATGATTTGTCTTTATGATGAGAGAGTTTATTGAATATGTATGTAGGTTAATTGCACTCACGCATGCTAAAATATCTACACACGCGTGTGTGCACTATTACTCATGGAAAAAAGGAAACGAACTGGCCGTATCTGTGTAATGCGGTGGTTCGTGCGATATAGGACGGAAGCAAAGATCACAAGTTGGTGACACGTAACTTTCAGTATTGACATTGATAAATTTACTACTTTTTGTTATATTTTTATTTAAAATCAAGGGAAAAAAGAAGATATGTATATATGTATATATATGTATATATATATAAAAGGGAGTAAAAACTAGAAAAGAGAGAGAGACTTTTATATATAGTCACATTAGGCATATGGATTAGCGGCAAATACTCGAATAGAGGGTGGTGCTCTAACCATTTGAATGGTCAGCATGACTCTGATCTTATCCAGTGCCTTAATCGTCTGTGAAGACTGTTCACTGCTATAACCAGTACTAGCAGATAAGCGAGAACTGATAATGGAAGCTCGCTTTGAGGCTGATTTTTTCGGCGTACCGACGAGACCAGCGTTTGTCGCGGCACGAGTTATTTCTTCAAATTCTTTTGTATTCATAGCCTCTGTTTGAACTGATGCAGTCGATTGAGACCTTTCAGGATAATTTGTCAACAATTCCTCCTCTTCGTACTCATCATCAGACAAACTCCACTGTTGTTGCTGTCCTGTTGAAGGAATGACGCCCTCCTTCCAATACATCGTCAGGGCACGTTCCTTGGCATCATATTGATAACGCCAGAGTGGCAGATTAGCCAAGTGAATACGTCTTTCAATACCGAATTCTGGTATGGACACATCAAACCAATCTTCCATGACTGCAATCACACGTGCTTCCGTAAAGACGGTGGGAGGTGAATTCTCTGGAAGTGGTGGTTGCTGTTGGTGCTCTTGAATGTGCATCAAATATAAGGCAAGTGATAACAGTTTGCCTTGATAATTTGCTTCCAGGCTAGCTTCTTTCTTTGCGTTACAGTGTTGAGCAAGTTTTTGAATCGTGTCTCTATCCAGATAAAAGTGTTTTTCTTTATATACAATGTGAGTTTTATTTTTATTTGACTGCAGATATATATATATTTACCTCCTATCAGCGCAGCTTCCAATTGACGATGAACAACGATATCAACATATCGACGGAGAGGCGCAGTGAAATGAGTGAACAAAGGCGTGCCAAGAGCAAAATGAGAGTATTTAGAAATATCGAATGCACCTGCACAAAAGTATTTAGGTGGTTCCATTGTCTTGAGCACCAAGATGGATATTAACTGACGTAGCTCAGGATTTTCAATCGATTGAACGGATTTCTGAATGGTTGCAGCGTTGGTTATATCCAACTCGACGCCCAAATACTGAGAAGCATATTCTTTCAACTCGTTCTAGTTTGACATCAGTATAAGCATACACGCACACACATAGATATGTAAACTTACAATTTTTCTGCTATTGGGACAAGATTGACGACGCAATAAGGCCTGTTCTGGGTATTGACTGGATATCTTTTGAGCAACGCTCTTGTTTGCCAAAAATAAGAATTCCTTGAGAATAGTAGCAATATCAGGGAGTTTGTTGGAAATGGTGGCTGTTGTGGGTTTGAAAGGATCATCAAAGAATAACTTTTGTCTTGATAAAGACATGGCCTCTTTGGTATAACGTGCTTCATAAAGTCTAGAAGCGAGTTTGTGTAGCAACTGAACGTCACTGTCGATTTCTGTTCCATGGCTTTCACTGCCATCAACGATCTTTTGTACATCTTCATATGAGAGTCGAGCAGCAGATCTATTTTGTTTTATGGTTAATCTTATATATACTAGGAGGTTCATTCAAACTTACTTGACAATCGTCTTGCCAAACCAGGTATCTAATAGTGTACCATCCGAGCTAAGCTTCCAGATAACAGATATAGCCGGTCTATATTTATAAAGCAAATGAGTAAAAATGATACATTAGCTCGCTAATTTTTTACCTCAGCTCATTGACTGTAAAGTTGACAGCGTCGACAAGTTCGTCGGGCAGCATAGGTACCTGCTTTTGATCGAGCTCTACACGAACACCTCTTGCTCTAGCCTCTTTATCCAGGGGCGAGTGTGGTTTGATAAAGTGAGAAATATCACAAATATGTACACCCACTTCAAAGGTATCATCACCTAAGCGGACAACAGATAAACCATCTTCCAAAAGATTGCTTTCGATAGGATCAATCGTGATCATCCTACTGTGGCTCTCGGTAGTCAGGTCTCGACGGTTTTCCTCTTCAGTGGGTTGGTAAGATGTAGGTGGTACACATTGCATGACTGCTTCTGTGAATGGTGTGTCAGACACATTTGCATCAGCCAAGATGGCTTTGACTTGAACATTCATATCCATGATAGATCCTAGTTCTGCTTCGAGAGTACCAAATGGATGCAGAGATGTGATTGGCCATCTCTTGATTGACCCAACAAACAAACGGTTCTCATAGGCATCTGTGTTCTCAACAAAATCTTGAGGCGCTTGCTCAATAGGAATAGCGATGAGTGGAACACGCTTATCTGTGGCTTTAAACCAAACGATTCTTGGAACTTCCTTTTTCCCTCTATCCCCTTCCTCTTCTTGAAGCTGTGCTCTCTTATTATTGGGTCGGGACAATGTGAGGGTACTACAAATATATAAAGATGAGTCTTACGTTTTATCTAATACAAATGATACTTTACCCAGAAAACACTTGATTTTGAGCTCTTTCCAATATAGCCACAACGACACCTGCATATTTTGGCTTTACCACATCCGTTTCTTCATCGCCTCCAAATATGATTTCATTTTCATCTTCCTCATCGGGTAAACGCACCTTGGGCTGGCCATTATTTCTCGCCAACTTGGCATCTTCCTTTTCTTGCTTCTCACGCAACACTTTCTCAACATTGACCAACCTGACAGCCACGACATCACCTTCAAGCGCACGATTTCTACCTCGGGAGCCACAAATATAAATATCACTGCCGTCCAATTCGTCACAGGAAACATAAGCATCACTACGATTTCTCTTGTTGACACGTAATATACCACGCACAAGTTGACGGCTTCTGAATAAAGGTGGCAAAGCAGAAAATGGTAAATGAGCAATAAAGAGTTGTCGACGTTGATGAGGGTTTGCATCATCGTATCTTGAAAAGTTAACACGAGTAGGTGTGAATGGAACAAGAGAGAAGGATGATCTATTACTGCTGTTATTGGATGAAGTACCTGAATAAAAGTGAATAAGTATGTAAATAAATAATAAATAAAAAACAGGGAAAACTTACTATTCCTCCAATCCTCGAAATTACGAGAAGAACGACGATTGAGCTGTTTGTTGCTACTACCCAAGGATAAACTCAAGGACTTGCTGTTCATAACTGCTCTCTTATTGGTAGATGAATCTAAAAATGATTCTCCGTTTTCGTTCAACACAGGTAATTGCTGTAGAGATAAACGCTTCTTGACGTAACTTTCATCACTTGTGCTGCTACGTCTGTTAAACGTTCCCATCAGTTTGGCTTCAGCTTCAGCCAGAGCATCTTCTCTGGAAAGAGACATACTCTCGTCACTGGTTCGCTTTTCCAAACTTTTGCTACTCAGAGAACTAGGTGGCGTGATAGGCGGTAAGGTCTTTAAGGTTTGGATGACATCTTTAATGTTATCTACAGTAGTAATTTCTTCCTTTAATGTCTGTAAGCCCATAAAGCTTCGCCTGTTTCGAGCATTATTGTTGCTGTTTTTGTTATATGTCAGCGAGTTGGTCGATTTTGAAGAGAGGACGACCAAGTCCGAGTTGGCAGCAGAACGAGAGCGTTGATGTCTTCCCGTGGGTAGCATAGATACAGCCTGTTGGCGTTGTTGTACATTCTTACCAGTGTTTTTAAAGTCCAAACTAGATGATAGCCCATGAAAAGTACGTCGCTTATCCGAACTCTTTGTTGTGGTAACCTTGGTAACCCCAAATATTTAGTTTTTTTTTTTTCTTGGTTCTTTATAACCTTACCTCGGGTAAGTCGAATAAACCTCTTGTACTTTCTGGAGCCGTTTGTTGTTCTAAAGCGTCATGGTCCATTTAAAATACTTGTGAAAAGAAACGAGAGGATATAAGGAGTAAAGTTTGCTTTGCTTTTTTGCTTAAAGGAAAAATGAAAAAATAAAGGAAAGGGAATAACAGAGAGAGAGAGAGAAAGAAAAAATTGGCAATGTTCTTTTTTTTTGCGTTTGTGGATATGCAATGTAAATGGAGTTTGAATATTAGGTTACAATCTCTAAATTGACTTTGGGTCATTTGTGGCTAAAAAAGCCCCGAAAGAAGACAGAGATCTTTTATAAGATGACTTTATGAAAAGAGATATTCTTATTGTCTACTTAAGATGAGGAAAGTAAAAGGAAATGGGAGAAGGAAGATAGTCATGGTGATGACCTTGCAGGAAGTTTAATTTCTATTTGTTGTGATTTGGAGTAGAGTGAGAACTTTATTTAGAGGCATGAATAGATGTCCTTTTTTTACAGTAAAAAGTCACATACAATGCTTCTTTAGATCTTTTGAACTAATTTAGTATGGTTATTTAGAAGAAATATAAGAGAATAAGGTATTATAAAGATGTTATCGACAGTGTATTAAATCCATTATTACTCTTTTGAGAGAGAGGACTTTCATTGTTATGCTTTAGTCTGTAAACAAAGTTTTCATAGATATTTAATGCACCCTACTCTCTTCGCTTTGATCCAATAACAGAGATATATTGTTCAGTTTCTGTAGTTTTTATTAAACACTTTGTCAACATAAGCATATTCATTTTTCTTGCTTGTAGGGTGTAGCTCTTATTTCCTTTCATGCTCAACAAAAGAACCATTTCCACCTTGGAGAAGGAAAGGTGATCAGCAGGAGGTACATGTTTGCTTTGTCTGAGTTTTGGTTTTTTTAGCGCCTATTGTACTTGATGTGCCCATAATTAACATTTATCTTTTGTGCTGTGATATACGATTAACAAATAAAGTATTGTAATTATCCTATTCTTGGTCAAATAAATTCTCAGGAAACTTGTATGACATCTTTGGGTAGAGGACAACAAGGAAGGAAAAGATTTACAAAGAACTGTAGGCACGGAGCCACTTACACAAAAGGTTTACAGTAAATGAATATGATATGTATGCCCATTCAAGTCTTGTATAAAATAACACTATATTGCTTCTCCATTTTGGAAACTCGGAAGAAAGGGCAAGCTTTATTTTATTCGATGATAATTCACACTAAATCAGGTAACTGTGTCACCTTTCGTACAAGAGACCGTAACATCATTACAGAACCAAGTACGTAACAATTGTTCTTGCTGCGAGATCCTTCTTGGGAGTGAATGGGCAACAACCCTTCCTTGTTGGGCTTACCCTCTGGCCTATTGATCAATGTTTACCCGCTTGTAAGCTAAACAAGACAAAAACGATACAGAAGAGAAATCAACAGTGTTGCCTGGGATTGAATATTTGGTTTACCAAAAGAAGGTTTAACAATTTCTTGTGTCCCCCCTTTTGCTTTGTAAATATATGCGTTGTAACTTTAGCTCCTGAGGCCTATATTCCTCAGTGGTTGTTGAGATTGATAGCGGTCAAGGGTATTTTCCTTTAATGATCTGTACTTGCTTGTGTTCAATTTCTTGGCAAAAGGAAGCTCTTGTAAATATCTATGGATATTGCTTATTTCAATAGATTTGTGGGATATTTATACTAATTGAGAAACTAAATATGCAATATAAAGTAAATGATAAATGATAATGATATGTATATGAAAATGATAAATGGTAAAAACTTATATGATGCATGCATAAGGTTACTAGTGTTAACAGATATCAAAAATGATATCAATAGGATGGAAGCGATTCCGACAGCAGGAGGTTTTTCGTTTTCGGCGGAAGAGTCAAGGGATTCCAGCTTAAACAAAGCTTTTTTAAGTAAAGAGGCTGAGAATTGGCTGTTAAATAATGTAGACCACAGCTCCTTCCAAACTAGTAGCTTGGGAAGACAGCCATAAAGAAGGTGGGTAGTGTCCTCTACGGCAGACATAGTATAGGACGCGTCATTGTGGCGAATCCACAAGTTCAGAAAGGAACCTAAAAAGTGTAGAGCGGGTGGCTAGTTTACCAGCCAAGGCCCAGTGTCAAACAGTACGAGCTTGAAGGTGGATTAGGAAAACGTCAGCCACAGAAGATACAGTGGTCATGTATCCTTTATTTGCATACTTATCCAAATCACATTGAATAAGAAAAGTAGATTCACGAAAGGTCTTGAAACTCTTCTTGATACTATCAGAGGCATGCTTTCCTTGGCCAGCAAAGATGGAAAATATGTTATAAAACAGATTTTGAGTAACCATAGGTAGCTCTTCACCATTTTCGAGAAGTTCCAAGAAATAGTAATTAGCAAAAATGGATCCAGCATATATCAGTTGAGTAGTGTGATCAACTACTTCTTGAATCAAGGTAACGAACTTGGGATATCTACAGGCATTAGCCAAAGATGTCTTGATCACGAAACATAAATGATAAACGGGAGGACTTCCTCTCACTCTTTCATTGAACCGTATCAAGGAACAGGAATGTTCCATGAAGCCTTGATCATCTCGAACTGAATGTACTGCATCTGAAAAGATAACGAACTTTTTCATATATCTGGCAAAATTGTTCTAGAGAAAGAAGAAACACGTAAAAAGAGAAGACATCAATTCTTCATGTGTAATCAGTCATAGCTGTTTTTTTAGTATTTGCGTCTTTCATCCTTAGGGTGTAACATATAGTTAGACATATAGTTCTATGTTACTCTATTCATATTTCTCGTTTATTAGTTCTTTTCAAATTTATGGTACCGCCCAGTAGTCAAGAACAGTGACATTGCTGGCACATAGCAGATATAAAAAACATGTAAAGACTTATCATAAACACTTGATAACTTTAGTATGAATCAAGAGTACTGCAGACATTTATCGAACAAGTGCATCTTGCCATTTTCATACACCTTTTCCTTAATAAACAGTGGAACAACTCAGGATGGGACATGATACCGTAAAATAAGCCGTCACGATGCGCGCTACTTTTTTCGAAATAAACAATTTTTTTTTTCGCGTTCCTCTCTCTCTCTTTTTCACTATCCCAGCCTCATCGCAATGGCAAGCTCACACATGAACACCATGTTAGACACTCAGGCACTGATGTCTGAAATTAATACACCAAGCCAGATGGAAGTTGATGATGCTGCCACACCTCGCCCTCCTGCTCAAGTTCGCCGACCTGGCTTTACCCCTGACGCTGTTCAAAAGTTTGTAGACGAGACAGGTCTGATTGTGATGAAGTCATTTGAAACTTTTTTACAAACGTAAGATCACACCTAGTTACCTTAATCTATCTAACTGTGATTTTACATAGCTACAAAGACGAGCAACTGACGTATATGAGTGAAAGCAACTCGGGCTGGAAAGGATATCCTTATATGATGCAGATGGAAAATTTTATCACAAGCTTGTTAGATACGGTCTTTGTTGATTTTGGTCATATTGAAAGAAGTGATTCGACATTAGCCTCTGCTATTAGTGATCAATACTATCGGTAAAAACAATATGAAGCAGTTTGTAGATGGTTCCCTCTCTCTAACTTGTTTCTAGTTTCCTTCCTTTCCTTCGACGAGCTGTACATAATGTAGTGAGTGAACAGTTTCCCAAATGCTTCCAGCCAAGAGATCAAGATCTCGTACCTGACTCGGCGCTCAACAGAGAATTCAACGTTGCATTCTATGGATTATCTGATATGAACCGCGTACGACAATTAAAGACAGACAAGATCGGCCGTCTTATCAGTGTCAGTGGCACCGTCACCCGTACGTCTGAAGTTCGTCCTGAACTGACCTATGCATCCTTTACATGTAACGAATGCGGCAAAATTGTAAACAATATCGAACAGGAGTTTAGATACACACAACCCACGATGTGTCCTACCATCACCTGCTACAATCGTACCAACTGGACACTTAATATTGAAAAATCCAAATTTGTCGATTGGCAAAAGATCAGAATTCAAGAAAATTCAAACGAGATTCCTACTGGCAGTATGCCTAGAAGCTTGGATGTCATTGTCCGTAACGAAATGGTCGAGCGTGCCAAGGCGGGTGACAAGTGTGTTTTCACGGGTACCCTTATTGTTGTTCCCGATGTGTCTGCTTTTAGAACACCTGGCACATCTGTCGAAACCGAACGAGACACGACCACCCGTCCCTCTGACGGATTGGGCAAGGAAGGTGTGACTGGTCTTAGAGCCCTTGGTGTCCGTGATTTGACCTACAAGTTATCTTTCTTGGCTTGTATGGTGCAGCCTGCCACTCAAAACAAGGTCAACAATATCAACCTTCATGGCGAAGATGTTCCAGAAGAGACGATCCAGGATGTCTACAACACATTAACTCCCGAAGAAGTCGAAAATCTTCACAAAATGATTCGAATGGGCGATAAGTTCTACAGCAAATTGGTCGGCAGTATCGCGCCTTCTGTGTTTGGGCATGAAACTGTTAAAAAGGGTATTCTGTTGCAAATGTTGGGTGGCGTGCACAAGGTCACGCCTGAAGGTATGCATCTTCGTGGTGATATCAACGTGTGTATTGTTGGTGACCCATCCACAAGCAAGTCTCAATTTTTGAAATATGTTTGTAATGTCATGCCTAGAGCCGTGTATACCTCTGGTAAGGCTTCTAGTGCTGCCGGTTTAACTGCCTCCGTTATCAAGGATGAAGAAACAGGCGAATTCTCTATTGAGGCTGGTGCTCTTATGCTTGCTGATAATGTACACTTGCAAAAAAAAACAATTGAATGTGTAACTCACTTTACATATATAGGGTATCTGTGCCATTGACGAGTTTGACAAGATGGACGTCAAGGATCAAGTGGCTATTCACGAAGCAATGGAACAACAAACGATTTCTATTGCAAAGGCAGGTATTCAAGCTAGTTTGAATGCACGTACCAGTATTCTTGCCGCTGCCAACCCTGTCGGTGGTCGTTACAACAAGAAGCGAACATTAAGACAAAATGTCAACATGTCAGCACCCATCATGTCTCGTTTTGATTTGTTCTTTGTTGTTTTGGATGAATGTAATGAAATTACGGATTATAATATTGGTCGTCATATTATCAATAATCATCGTCAAAAGGAAGATGCCATGCAGGCTGAGTTTTCTACTCGAGATATTCAAAACTATGTTCGTTATGCTAGAACCTTTAAGCCAAAGGTATATAATGAATGTGTATTGAAATACAGGTGAACTGACATCATTCCATCTAGTTGACAAAGGCAGCTGCTGACAAGTTGGCTGAATATTATAGAGAATTGCGACAAGGCGATTCTCAAGGTGTGGGTCGAAATTCATACCGTATTACTGTAAGACAGTTGGAAAGTATGGTTCGTTTATCTGAAGCTATTGCAAGAGCTTTATGTAATGAAGAGGTAAAAGGATATATAAAATGTGAAAAAGAGAGATACTTATACGTTTGTAGATTACTGTTGCACATGTGACAGAAGCATACACTTTACTTCAAAAATCGATTATTCGTGTCGAAGAAGAAGATGTTAATATTGACGATGCATTTGATGACAATGAAATGAGCGAGCTGTTGACAAGCACAGAAGCACTCCGTAGTATGTCCTTGAACGAAACTGAAGAGCCCAGTGAAGAGCATAGAGATGTCAATATGGACCAACCTAAAGGACCCAGTGGTGCTTTCATGACATCTTCTGGAAAGATTTCCATACCTTATGAAAAGTTTGAAGAAATCAAGCAAATGCTGGCCATCAAGCTTCACCAAGTGCAAGAAGAATCTGATGAAGAAGCTGGTATCACACAGGATAAGCTGATCATGTGGTATCTTGAACAAATGGAAAATAATCTTGATGAAGAAGCTCTTGAGTTTGAAGTGACGGTTGTGAAGAAGGTCATTAAGAAGCTTCTAAAGACGGTAAGAATCATTTTATTTAAAGTTTTGCTTTACTCATCTTATATTGCAGGGTGAGACATTGATCGCTGTCAGACAAGATCAAGATGAGGATGCATTAGAACAGTTTAGTGAAGACAATCCCTTACTTATGCTTCATCCCAATTATGTCTGGGAATAATTTAATATTAATCATAAAACTTGTACATATATCAGTCAATCCATTCTTTTGCATAATCCAGGTTCATATCGCTTTACAGGTCACACAATAGACCTATTTTTCCCCTGCATATTCCACGTGACAAAACGTAGACTGTTTACTGCATTCACCCTTTTATATATACGCGTCCCTGAAGCTGTTGAGATATCTTTATAGCGAACATGTGTCAAAGATTCTGTTAAAACAGATTACCGCCTCCGCCTCTTTAAAACATGTGTAATTGATGAGAAATCATCCTACAAAAGTCAACAAATAGACCAGCGTAACACAATTCACGTCATTGAATGAGGGGCAACAATGCCCTTTTTTTGTCCTTTTTTTCTTTTCTTTTTCTTATCTTTTTTTTCCCTCTTGATAAACAAAGCAAAAGTCCTGCTGGTACACGTACATACATCAGAGCCTGTTACAAGTAGATCCATATTGTATCAGTTTTATAAACCATCAACATTTGTGTTCCAATGGGCAAGATGCAGAAACGAATAGAAGCCCACAGTAATGGTAGAGAGATTGTGAAACTAAGTTTTACAGTGTTTCCTGAGACAGAAACGCGTGGACTCTCGGTTTCACCTGATGCTGTCAGACGCGTTACCTTCTTTTCGCCTTCTGTATACAATATAGACCAGCGAGTGTTGGCAACGAGCAGTAGTGAGCATAATTCTAAAGTGGCACCTCCTTCAACAACGTCTCCTTTTCAAGGACCTGTGGGAGCGTATCTATTTCCTGGTCAGTCTTATAGTGTGCCTGTTGTATACGTACCAGCATCTATCATAAGTTCTCAATCCATCCTATACCAATCATTGCCTACAGCAACAACAAATACCCCTTCTTTATCAGAGTCTCATCATTCTACTCATCTTACATCATCAAAAACAAGTCCTGAACAAATCCAGTCAAGTGCCGTCTTTGATCAGAATGACCCTATGCATGGAGAAAGAAAGTATATTTGTCCTTACCTGGGGTGCAATAAAGCATTTATACGAAGCAACCATGTTGATCGGCACATCAGTTCAGTGCATACAAAGGCAGAAGGTTAGAATTGATATTGATAAATGAAACAGTCTAATATTATGTATTAGGATTTGATTGTCCTTTCTGTCGTAAACAATTTACGCGAGAGGATCATTTTGATCGTCATCTAAGCACACATAAAAAGCAAGCAAAGGACATGAAGCATACTATGGATGTAGAGAAATTAAGACAGATCTTACAAAACAATCATTCAGAGAGTCAAAAGAAGGAAGCTGGCTCTGTATTGGATTCAGATATTTTGCGTAGTACATCTGACAATACGTCACAAGTAGTATCAAATATTGAAAAACTATTACAAAATGTCATGGAACTTGTCAAGCAGAGAGAAAAATGTAAAGAGGACAATTAAACCTACTAGAGTGCCTTCCTCCTCTCTTGATTCATATATTCAATTCATCATTTTTTTTTTACAGCTGCATAAACCGATACCCTCCAATAAAAATAAGCCTGCATTGATATATTTCGTTCATTACTTTTTTTTTTCTTTTTTTTTTTTCTTTCTTTATAAGAATGTGTGGACGCTTTGTTTGTTTTTTAAATCCTGAGCAGATAGTTGAAAGACTTCATAGGGATAACTATTGTTGTGAAGATGTTCAAGTCGACTGTCAAGACTTTAGGCCGAGTTATAATGTTGCGCCAAAACATCAAATTGTTACTTTATATGAAAACAATAATCAAAAGTCTCTTAAAACAATGGTAAATGAATAAAACATGAATAAACCTTTGTTGACTCTTATTTTTAGGAATGGGGATATGTTCCTTCTTGGATAAAGAAACTACCTATCAATCGAGTAAGTGAGAGAAGGGGACGATATAAATCTAACAGGTACATAGCCAATCAATGCAAGACAAGAGACGCTGGAACAAACAAAAGGGTTTTATGTCTCATCCAAGGATACCCATCGATGTGTTGTTGTTGCGGAAGGGTAAGAATGATGTTATTCAAAAGACACGTTTTATAAGTTTCTTAAAGGTTCTATGAATGGAAAAAATTGGGTAATGGTACAAAGCAACCTTATTATATCAAAAGGAAGGATGGTCAATTGATGATGTTTGCTGGATTATATGACATCAATGAACTGACAGATAAATCATATACATGTGCTATCGTCACTACAGAAGCATCCAAAGAATTTTCTTCTATTCATACTCGAATGCCTGTCATTTTAAATCAAGATCAAGTGAATACATGGATTGATGGCTCAATACCTTGGTCAAGCCGAGTTATTGACTTGATGAAGTCATTTGAAGGAGAATTAGAATCGTAAAAAGATCATCTATTATATATTAAAAAATTAACAAATATATATTAGCTATCAAGTGACAGATAAAGTGGGATCTGTCAAGAATGATTTCCCAGGCTTGGTGAAGCCCATAGATAGCCAAAGAGGCTCTATCTCACAATTCTTAAAGCCACAGTGTCCAGATGAAGAAAAGAACAAGGAGATTGCACCTTTTGATATGGATGATACGAACAAAAAGAGGAAATCAAATCAGCAAGAGAAAATTACGCATTTCTTTAATAACAATAATAAAAGGAAAAGAAATTAATAATCTGCTGCCCAACCATTGTCTTTTAAGAAATCTTCAATGGCTTCCCTAAGTGATAAATTAGGTACTAAATCAGATTCTTTACATGCTTTTCTTGTAATTGGATCAAAGTAACCGTTCCTCTTGAAATGATCCAGTAAAGATTGCCGTTCATAGGTTATTCCATCTATTTATCTATTAAGTTTTATATGAAATGAAATATATACTTTTTACCTGGCGTGAAGACTGGGTCATGCATGATATTGAATGATATTTTATCCAAATAAGCATCTGGTATGTCTCTCCTCTAATAGTATGATATGTGAGCATAAAAACATACAAACACATCTTATTTCCCTTACAGTCGCGTTTTCTCTTGATTGAACAAAGACATTCTCTACTTTTCTCAGCTTTTCATCCTATATCAAGTATCAATAAACCCCTTATCTTGTCTATGCTAATTGTCTTACAATATTGTAATTTATAGTATCAACTGCTTCTTCATCTGTTCCTTCCTTTTCCAACAACTCTTTTCTTTCCTTTTCAATCAAACCTTTAACATATCGCAATAACTCTGATTCCTTTTCTAATCGAATAGCTTCGTCATCTTCCCATTTCTATAGACATTATATTGTATATAAATCAAGCATGTATATATACAACGTGTATATATTTTTTATACCTTCTTTCTTGCCAACAACAGGGCTTGAAGAATATCATTGACATATTTTACTTTTTGTTGAATAGCTAATTGATAACCAATCTTTAATTTATTCAATGCTATCGTTTGAATGAGTATCAGTCATGAATCGGTGTATTGATATCAAACCTTCTGTATGTTGCTTCTTTTCTGTTAATGCTTGTCCAAGCTATGTAAAGAGTAAGAATCGTTTGGTAATTAAATCTGATCCTAGTTTACCAAATAATATGCTTTTACTATAATAGACTCATTAATAAGCATATTATGTAATATATACAATTTCAACTACCTAGCTGTGGGTCAAGTTCAATCGCCTTTCTACAGTCTGATATCACTTGATCGTATTTCTCCAGCTGATTTTATTACATGATGGTGAGTTCCTTTTATATATACAAAATATACTATTATACCTTCAGATAGCATATAGCTCTATTTGTATAATAAACAGGCACACTTGCATCTTTTATCTATTAAAAGAAGAACAATAAACATTCAAAGAAGAAGAGGTAGCTTGTCTTTTTTTAAAAAACTTTCTTTTATTTTACAATGGCACTTGTGTATTCTTTAATAGCTTCTTCAAACCGTTTCTCAGCAAATAGTTTATTTCCTTTGAGGAAACCTAATATCAGTATTTTACACACATATACCACTTTAACTTACCATTTGCCTTGTGTTGCTCTGCTGCTTCTTTTGACATTTCAAGATTATTAATACACAAAAAAAAGGGAACCCTTTTTTTTAGGGGAAAAAGAGAATATATTAAAACGGCGATAAAATACGAGTTTCTGTTGTGATATACACCATTTCCAGAAAGAGATGTTGCGCTGACTTGTCGCTTTTTCGTATAAATTGTATTGCAAAAACTGCAAAAATGCGACTTTACTTTTTGAAAAGACTGTAATGTATCTATTCAGGAAATTAGAAGAGAATAATCAAGGTGTGTATGTTATTTAATGAGCCTTTTCTTTTTCAAAAAGCCTTACAAGTGCAGAAATACCATCCTCTTTAACATCGCTTTATAAACATTGAGGATATTTATCATCTTTCTTTTTACACTTCAGAACCATTATTCCTGTTTTAGCCAATAAATGATCAAACTTCAACTCGCTGATCCTTAAACCTTATTCGACAATCACCTTTTTTAACGAATGCTGACATGATTACATAATAAACTCACTATTTAGATTTAAACAGGCTAAAGTATGGCTTGCACATAATAAAAGATTTCCCATTCATCTTTTATCTTCAAACAAAAGCTTTTGAGCATCTATAAGCTCTCCTTTTTCTTAAGGGAAAACAGCATTCTTTTCTAGTAGATCCAAAAGATACAAGAGAAAACAATATGCACTAATCAATATGCAACATGGTTCATAGAGAGCAAGCAGGGAATAATTCAACGAATCAATTCGAGCAATCTGTGTGACCGGATCTTAATAAGGAATAATGTCTCGATTTCATCATCATCTCGTGTATCTGCTTATTCTTTCTTTTTTTCTTTATTATTTTATATTTTTCTATATGGCTGGAAAAGGAGTTGTTCGTAGTATGTAAGTTTATGCATAAAAGCTATTATAAAACCAAGTGAAACTAATCATCAAAAAAAAAAAAGAAAAAATATTGCTAAAGGCTTTAGTGATGTTCAAATTAAAGTGAGAGAAGCTACCTCTAATGACCCATGGGGTCCTAGTGGCACACTCATGAATGAGATAGCTCAACTCACTTTTAACGAGTAAGTGAAATATTATAAGTATGGCTATTCTTATTAACCCTAATAATAATAATAATAAAAAGATCTGACTTTATTGAAATAATGGATATGATTGACAAGAGACTAAATGATAAAGGAAAGAACTGGCGTCATGTATTCAAGGTCGGATATATACATATATATATATATAAAACACATGTGTGTCTCCTTATTAATACATTTTGTAGGCATTACTCTTGTTAGATTATTGTTTACATGTGGGGTCAGAAAATGTCGTTTTATACGCCAAAGAGAACGTCTATGTTGTAAAAACCTTGAGAGAATTCCAACATATCGACGAAAGTGGAAAGGATGTAGGAGCAAATGGTAACACCATATTTTTTCTTTCTTTCTTTTTTCTTAATATATTTCTTATAGTGAGACAGAAGGCAAAGGATGTCACAAATTTATTAATGGACGATAATCGATTAAGAGAGGAAAGACGCCAAAGACAGGGTATGCGTGAAAGAATGGCACACGTTGGAGATTATCTGAATGAGACTGTGAGACAAATTGATGGTGGTCAAGGGCGTTATGATGAAGACGCTGATCTACAGAAAGCAATAGCCGAAAGCAAACGCATTGCTGAAGAAGAAGCAAAAAATAGACGTCAAGGGTAAATAACAATGGCAAGAGGATATTTCTGTTATTTATCACATGTCCTTTATATAGTGACGATGATCTTGAAAAAGCCATTCAATTAAGTCAACAAGAAGCTTTTGAAAAAGAAAAGAAAGAAAGAGAAAGGTTAGAAAGAGAAAATACTCAGAATTTGTTTGGAGTATCAAGGTAATGATAGTGTGTAACAATTGGGTCCCTATTGTATTAACATACCCTTAGCTTTCAAGCATTCCCTGCACAACAAAATGCGGCTATCAACAATCCATACCAGCAACAGCAGCAGCAAAATCCTCCTTTGCAGTTAGAGTGGACAGCTAGTAACAATGCCTTTAGTGGATTGCAAAATAACCCTTACCAGCAGACACAGAATCCCTACCAATCAGCATTCAGTCCCAATACACTCCAGGCACAAATGACTGGATTTCCTCAACCCACTCCATCATCAGCTGTCGATTTGTTTTCACAGCAACCTCAATTGACAGGTTTCCCTGCTACTCAACAACAACAACCGCAAATGACAGGGTTTCCTGCTACCCAACAACCGCAAATGACAGGATTTCCTGCCACTCAACAGACAACAAATAGCTTCTTGTCCACTCCTAGCTTTCAAACAAGTATGGTAACAGGAACAAACCCTTTCTCACAAATGAATACAACCACTCCTTTACAACCACAACAACCACAACAGCAACAACAATCTTTTGACTATAGTGGACTCGTATTTGGTAATCCACAACAACAACAGCAACAACAGCAACCATCCTTTTCGCCCAAGTTAAGTAACAATAGCAATTCTCCTTTCAACTTTACTTCTTCTCCTGTAACTGCCAGTGCAACTACAAGTACTTTTACCTCGTCTATGACGCCTACTATGAGACATGCTAATGCTTTCTCATCTCCTCAAGTATGTAAAGAAAAGAAAGAAAGAAAAAATGTAGAACTCATCTTTTTAACATATATAGCTGGGAAATTCACAAACGCCATTCCAGAGCGAGGCGGATTCCAAGTATGCCAAGTTAAACTCCTTGTTGGCCAATAAAGAGTAAAAAAGAGATAATAAATTCTGAGCTAAAGCTAATGATGATAATTAGTGATGGTATGGATACATTTGGAAATCAAGGCAATCTGCGTATCCCATAGTAAAGTATAACTCACATACTATTTCTTATAATAACAAACTGACGTGCACAATTATAGTGGCACTGGCTTTGCAAGCAGTATCGGCTTACAAAACACTAGCAATAATGGAATGGACAATAGTGCTAATAGCTTCGTAAGTTGTATATTATTTAATCCATGGTTCTCTTTTGTTCTTATATGTTGATGATAGGGATCTATAAGCAGAAACCCTTTTGGACAAGCAGCGGCAAATAATAATAATAATAAGCCTGCTGGTCAGAAAAGTTTATTAGACTTGATGCAAGAACAGAAGCAGATGAACATCTTATAGTAAATACTTTTTCCGAATTTTTTGTTACAACTCTCATCAATAAAATGAACATCTTTTTGGACATAATATTTTAGATGGAATGAGGCATGTCTTGATTATAACCCCAAACTAGACGAGAAACCCATCAGAGAGAAAGAAGGAGTATACTTTTTTGGGGGATAAAGCCGATAAGTACCTTGAATTTAAGCATATCCCCTGTCAGAATGCATTGAATAAGTATTAATGCATAGATGAGGGAATTAGAACAAGCTTATGCATAATGTTTTTTACCGTAGCGTCTTCGTCTTTGAAAGGAGAAAGGTTCTAAACAGATTCTTTCACTTTTAATGATGGTTTGGCAATAGCGCTTCTTAATGTATGTCGATAAGCTCGTACCTCAATCTCTACATTTAAAGTCGATAATTTACATTAGACTTTTATGTGTGGATCTTAAAAAAAGAAATCAATTTCTTTAAGAGATGTACTGCATGACGTGCAGTGTGCAGATGCCAAAAAGAACAGAGGCGAAGGCTTCGGTTAAAATAACCGACATTGTAATTAAACAACTCTAATTGAAGTGGGGGAAGCTTCCGAGCGTGCAATTAAACCAAAAGAAAATGAAACTCTTGGCAAAGGTCAAAAAATATCACGTAAGAAAAATTTGCCAACAAAGAGGAAATGATATGTGGCAAATATAGCCTACAATCCGATAACTCCATGAGCGGGGCGTATCGGTGAAGAACGCCCACTCTCCCCTTCCAGGTAATCAAAGCTTTTTTTTTTCAAGTATCGGCGAAATGCAGCTTTGTACTTGTGCATCATCAGTGACCAAAGCAATGAGTCGATCATTTTTTGTAAGGTTATAAAGAAATGTTTTTGTGTGCAACGAGGGATTTTTGGCTACAGAAAGATACAGAGAAAAGAAACGATCAAGCACGCTTTGTATGTAAACTATGTAAATTGTCGTCAGTAAATGTTGGACAATAGCAGAACAATGCAACACAGGTTCTTTATAGAGAACGCAGAGAAACGAGACGGGGGAGCGGGTGGCAGTTTTTCCGTTTTATAAGCATCCAGGACAAAATTAAATACCATCATCCTCCCTTTTCCAGGAGTGGCTGCGTCACAGAGGAAGAGAGAGAGAGAGAGATGTAGGATAAATGACGGAAAAATAAAAGCCTTTTGTAAAAAAAAGAATTTCTTTTGCAGTCTCTTTACATCATTTTAGTGTTACAAAATTAAGCTTTAACCATCTTTGTATATTTCAAGGTTATTATGGTATTCGGTAGTAAATTCTTTAGACAATAAAGGATAGACTAAGAGAAAGAGTATCTTTGGTTTCCTTTTGCAGCTCTTTGTATAGTAAAGCATATGGCTGTCGGTTACATTGAACAGCATATGTTGTCAAAGCACGAATTTTAAAGTTTAGAGAGATGTATAATAAAACGGCTTAATGTTAGGTAATAGTAGCCTGCAGACTACACGTGCTTCATATTGTATACCTTGACCTGCTTATTTCGTCCATTCGTGTGCCCTTTTTGAACAAATTACAAGGATGTTTCGACTAAAAATAAAATACGAGTAATATGGACATGGGTACGGGGGTACACACATCTGTATATGTTTCTTTATAATGCATGGATACATACATAAAAAAACAAGCTATACCGTGACTCTTGTCTTTCAGTAAATGATCGGATCACGAAATAGACTATAAAGACGAGGGAAGAGGCTGTTGTACTAATACTACTAAATTTGTCTTTACTACTCGTTCAGTTTGTTTATGTTTAATAATGAGAATTGGGATGTTTATCCTCATTGTTGTTGCCTTTGTTCAACATTGACAACAGTAGATTAAGCACGCATTATTCTTCCAGTGAGATTGAAACGATGGTTATCAAGATAATGATCATTTGTTCTCACGCATAAATATTATCCTGGGAGTGATTTTATAAACATTTTGCTCAATTAAAGAAATTTCATAGAACAAAAGAGCTTGTTGACGCGCTAAAGAGCTACAATAAAGCTTGTAGATGGTAGTCTGTGTACACATCAAGGGGAAATGTAGCCCATTGTTTTTGAAATTTTTGTCAGATTCTACCCTCTCTAGCTATTGTAACATGAGTGCCTAGAGCACTATCAATATTCTCTTTTTCTACGCAATGTGGCTTATAGACAAAAGGATGCTTATTGTATTTTAAAGTCTATTTCTAATTTAGTCTTAATCAGCTTCTATTTATCCGTTTAAGTGAGCATCCCCACACTTTTTTGGTCGAGTTTGATTAAGTGAAACTATTATACATATGAATTCATGATATGTGGCTTACCTTATTAAACAAAAGGGGCTGAACACAGAAAGAGAGAGAGAAAGAAGAGAAAAAGAAAAGGTCATTAAAAATAGCCCTAGAACAAAAACGTAGGCTTAGTCTTTCAAAAAAAAAAAAAAAGACTCACATTTCAGACCCAATAGGATATTTCCGTTTCTGGTTTCCGTTTCTGATGTTCGTTTTAGCATGATGGTAGGACAAGAATTAACCAAATATAAAATGATAAAAAGAAGGGCCTTTTTTTTTTTTTTTTTTTTTTTTTTT